CACTCCTGTTACAAATCGCGAGTGAAATTGTATGTTTCTTGAAAAACTTGTCGACATCTGTAAAAAATCTTGAAGGCTTTGTAATAGCCTTTACCTTATCAAAAAATTCTTAATTTGCATGGACTAGTTGCACCAACTGTAGCATCTGTGCATCGTAAAACACATAATGCCACTGCATTTTCATCTCTACTTGTGATAGGAACACAATTCTTAAAGGTTCATGCTGTAGGTGAGGAAGCTGTGACGCCTGGCGTGATTTAAATGCAAAATCTGCTATAAAATAAAGTCAACTAATGATGAAAAGCAAAATCTGTGCTGTCCATATGATTCACTCTACTGGTTTGATTCTCTTTTAAGTTTTTCTACCTTACCTCCTCCTTCTTATAGCATTTATTTATTTTTATGTAGCAGGACTTATAAATGATGACTATGGCTCTCCAATCGGTGAAGACAGCAATGACAGAAGAAATCAGCAAGAGCTAATGCTGCTCATCCTCATTGCCACTGCTCATGTCCTAATGGAGTTGCAGTTAATTTATTGCAGGCACAGGTTGAAGTCGATTCAACTAGCTTAAGTTATCATGGATACTGTCATTAAATACGGCACTTGAAAGCGAGTAAGGGAGCGGTGAGTTGGACGGACTATACCTCATCCCACTCTTTAATCTGTGAGTCTTTCTTAAAGCATCGACTAAGCCAGGAGCAGTGGCAGCATCGCCAAAACTCCTTCAATAATTTCTACGCTAATTACAGGAACACTCACTTAAGAAAGAACGTTTACTTCTTCATGAATACTCTCCAGATCTCCTTCCTGGCTTGTAAAATGGCGATAGAGAGGGTCGAATTGAACGAGGAATTGTCCAACTTCACTGAGACTAAAAAACTTATGTCTGATCTCTCCATTTAACCTGCAAATGATGACTGAAAGGGGAAAATGAAACAGCACTTCACAAATTCCACCAATATCCTGTTTATCCCTATATTATATCAGTAACTCTACTTTAATAATGCCCTTAACAACGCCAGGAGTCTGTAATCGTTTAGTCGATTCTTAAAGGCCTTCATATGCCTACCAGGTGAAGCACCCCCTTCAAGCCTGATTAATAATGAGCCATCTTAGTGGTTATCTTCCTACCGTTGCTGCGACTGAATCGCCCACCGACTACTGTCGACCAGTCACAATCATTGACCGAACGGCCTCTTTTGCACGTACTAAGGTGCTCTTAGAACACCACATAGAGGAGGCTATTCTTTAATTGTACTCCTGTCTCTCGATGCACTTTCGGTGCGCAAATGCCGCGCTAAC